CTCCACATGCAATACTTTAAATCTGAACTAAAAGTAGAAAATACTGTACTGTGGTTACCAACTTTGATGAAAAGCTTCATATTAATGTGTGCAAACTGCTCCTGACTTCGAAATTTATATTGAAGACTAGCACTATTCCGTACTCTCATATAATATGAGCATTTTATAGTTATTTCTGTGTTATTGTTATTATTGTAGTATTACTCTAATGATTCGGACTTCCTAACGTGTTCTTCAAATTCTAAAATGTCATCTGCTGTGGTTGTTTCCATTTCACTTTGCTGGGTTGGTCTTTCTTGGTCAGGTCCGTCAGTGGTGCAGCAGCTGCAGTGTAGTTTAGGATAAACTTCCTGTAGTATCCCACTAACCCCATGAAGGATCTGACCTGATGTTTGGTCGTCAAAGCTGATGCTCTTGTATGATAGTTATCTTTTTTTTTTCTTCCATGACTATCTGTTTGATTACCTACCTTGTGTCCAAAGTCCAGCATAGAATAGCCTATGTAGCACTTAGGTGGTTTGATGGTCAGACTTGCTGCCCTCACTCATCTGAACAATTCTCTGAGTTTCTTCAGATGTTTTTCCAATCTGGCTGTGTGTGGCAGAATGTCGTCCAAATAATGCTCGATGTTGGTGTTTTTGTGAAACATCTTCTTCATCATGTGGATGAATGATGCTGCCAAGTTGACTAACCTTTACTGAGGTCAATCTTGGAAAAGAATTTGGCCCCGTCTAATTTCGCCATGATAGCCTCTGGGTTGCCCATAGGTTCATAGTCGAAGTTTGTCCTGAGGTTCAGTTTCTGGAAGTCTATTCAGAAGTGTTTAGCCATCCATTTTCTTCACGACTATCACTGGTGAATAGTAGGCCGACTTTAAAGGCTCAATGATTCCAGCTTCCAACATTACCCAGACTTCTTGCTTTATCAGGTCTCTCATCATATAGGCATTTGGCAGGGCTTCACCTTGACAGGATACCTGGTCATAGCCTTAATCTTGTGATGCATAAGGTCTGTCTTGCCTGGCTTATCTGTGAAGACATTTGTGTACTGACACAGTAGCCCTTGTAGGTTTCGTTCTGCTTACCAGTCAGTTATTCACTTATGTTAACGTCTTTGTATGTTTCATCTCCACCTAGCAGTCTTAGGTCTAGTAGGTCTTCATCTTTTTCTAGCGTTGTAAGTCTGCAGACATATCGCTCTGCCACTGGGGGGCAGTTACATGTAAATTAAAAATCTTCATTAACTCGTATATCAGATGTTTATCGTTTCAAATCTTTAGAATGCCAGACTTCAATAAACCATTTATTGTTCAGGCAGATGCTTCTGACATTGGAATTGGAGCAGTACTCCTACAAGAACATGAAGACGGACTGGTTCCAGTAATGTACATAAGTAAAAAAACTGTTGAGCAGTGAGAACAACTACTGTGTGATTGAATGAGAGTGTCTGGTAATTATATTTGCCATCCAGAAATTCCAGAACTATCTCTATGGAAAGGAGTTCATCATCCAGATGGACCATCAGCCACTTGCATACATTCAGTGATGCAAACGCTACAGTGCGAGGGGCATGAGATGGGCGTTGTACCTCCATAACTCCAGGTTCTGCATTGAAGCCATCAAGGGGAATGCAAATGTTGGTGCATACTGTATGAGTAGACTTTGTATGAATTGAAAACAGTCTTTGTATATAATATAAAAAGTATTGTTAATATTTTTTCTTTAAGGGGAGTATGTTGTTAGATATACATGACTGTCTTACTTACATTTAATACAAAAGTATTATTTAGTTTATATTGTGCGAGCATTAAAGTGAGTTATTTTTAGAAGTGATAGTTATGGCAAGTTTGTCAACGTAACTGTTTACGACTCATTTGTTGTGTAGCTCAGTTGTTGTGAAGTGTTGTAATGTTACTCGAACCTTCTGAATTTTTCTCGTTGCTTTAAGTGAGTATTGTTATATCATAACGTCTCGTAGTTTGCAGAAATTTCTAGGCCTCAGTGGGGCAATAGATATATATTTATAGGCGACAAAGTTAGTGCAAGTAAGAATGTTAATGAAAGTGTAAGTAAGACAAAGTTAAGGAAAGATATAGATCTGGACTGTGTTTGTAAGTTTAGTCATAAAGAGTGTATAGTGGTGACTTTTAGAGTGTTATAATCGCAGATTGTATTGTAATAATAGAATAGAAAAGCATAATTTCGTTTTGTAAATGGGTTATAAAGTAACTGAACCAGCCTGTGTGGACTTTTGACTCAAAAGAGGATTATTTAAAGCTCTGAATACAACTGTGGTAACCCATGGGGTAGTGTAAGTGAATCTATCACTGATTGCATTGTAATAACAGAGTAAAGGAGAATATTCTGTCTTGTCAAAAGGTGTTCTAAAGTAATTGATCTCGCCAGACAATTATTTAAAGCTTTAAATACAACTGTGATAATCTATAGTGTAAAGAATTTTTTTATACATACGTTTGACTTGTTTTGAATATATTATTTTAAAACAAGTGGTTTGTGTGCTGTCCATTTATTGTGGAAATTTATCGCCAACAAGTCACAGACACCTACTGTAAGGAATTACGGCCCTATGAAAAACCTGACAGCCTCATTGAATTTTGTGTATTTCAACATTAGTGATATCCAGTATATTCTGTTTCAATCCATATATATCGCCATACATAGTAATAATAAACTTAATTAAAATTATAATTATTATGTTCCAAACTAGTGTTGTTATTAGTAATTTTTTCCGTCATAATTTCATTCACTAAACGTTCAGGAAAAAATTATGTGAGCTTTAATGAACAGTAAAATAACTGCTTAAGATCTGTATGATTTCTAGGGATTGCTTTCTACTTTTCAAACAGTTAAACATAGTCATTTGTGGATTTTTTCATTATTGTTTGATCCTCAATGATTTATTTTCATTGGTTTTAAATTATTAAATCTAGAATGCAGATATGTATATTACTCTTCTATTTTTATTGATTTATCGGTTATTAAAATGAAAAGTCCAGAAAAAATTCTTATAGTTACTTCACTAACATCACACATTGAAAGTAAGAAAACTTACTTGTGTTTATCAGTTACATTATTGTTACCAAAGCTGATTTTCATTGGTCATTTTCTATCCATAACATATTTGTTTGATTAGAAAAGGATGGTATTGATTTATTTATTTTAAGAAGTTTTTTTTTACAGAACATTAAATAAGGGACAGAAAAATATGAGCACTAAAGATTGGTTATAAAATTGTTTCTATCATTTGATATTTTTATAACTTGAAAAAGAATAACACTCGTAGTAATGGACGTATATCCACAGTACACAGTTTATTTTATCAGTTGTATATAGAAACTAGTTTCTTTTACTTTCATCAAATAAGCTATTGCATTATTTTCCGAATTTGCGAATACAAACTTCTACTTAAACTCAGCCGTTTGGGCAAATAGTTGTTTAGGAAAGCATAATATTGTCTATAGTTTAGGATCTTGGACGTGAATTTTCCTTTAAATTGTTTTATTTACTGTTTATCCGAATTATTAGTTGCAATAAATAACAAAATGAGTTATAAATTTTACCGTTACTTTTAACTGTAGCATAAGACCGTTATTTCAATATCGTTTTTTGTTAATCATGTAAAATAAAAAATCAGAGCAGAATGATATAAAATAGTCCTTAAATATTTGTAAAAAATATATATTTGAGGTAGTTTTATTTTAATTATCATGTTCTTGTTTCAGAGCAAAAACATAGTAAGCCTAATTACGGATGAAATAAAAACCTACAATTTCAGGTTAATTAACAAAACTGATAAATGTTTACTCTTATTTTTAATGCTTGATTAATCTCAACACGTATCACTGTTTTTTAATAATTAATAAGAACTATTAATGCTTTAAGATAAAAAACGTAACATTTTGTTATCTAATTTTTTAAACCATATTCAGGTAATAAAACATTATACATGTGTTTTGATAATTTTCAACATTTTGACCCAGCCTAAAAGCTAGCTCTCTAGCTTGCCTGCGCAAACAGCCGGATTAGGAGGCGCAGAAAACCGAACATATTTGCTAAGAAGAGGCTGTAGACGTCAGTACTCATTCTCACAGGCACAAATCCCTGCAAGGTTTAGTTGGTTTCTGCCAACGGTCTTTCAGACAGGCGGATAAAGTTTAAACACATATCTTACTGATTGTCATCGGTTGGATTTAGACTGCAGCTTGAGGAATTGGATAAAGGCATCGACCAAACTCTTTCACTATGGAAGATTTGACCTTAGACTTGAACTTGACCTATAATCGCTGTGACACTCTGAATGACACATATTTTTCATTATACAACGTGAGTTACTGTAAGAACGACACTTCGGAAAATGTTCGAAATACCCACCGCCCCTTCATACTTCCGTTGTGGCAACAAATTTTGTGGACTGTCGCCTTTGGTTTAATGGTTACTGTTGCAACTGGTGGAAATACAATTGTCTTGTGGATCATTTTGGCTCACCGAAAGATGCGAACTGTCACTAATTATTTTCTTCTAAATTTGTCCTTGGCAGACCTAATGATGGCTACCTTCAATGCCATCTTCAATTTTGTGTATATGTTAAACAGCCACTGGCCATTTGGTAGCTTTTACTGCACTTTAAATAATTTCATCGCTAACGTCACCGTTTGTTCAAGTGTTTTTACTATTACAGCTATGAGTATAGACAGGTAAGCCTATCTTGTTCTTAAAAAGTGATACTAATTTGGAAAAAAATATCCATATAAAAATGGGAGAGGCAATAAAAAATTACAAAACAACAATTACTACAACTAGGAAACACGTGAGAGAAAAAGAAGTTGATTAACATAACCCCAAAAAATGGATTAAAATAGGATTACTTCACCTTATGTATGTACCTACAAGATTTTTAACTGTAGACTATGTATCACATTTGAACATATTAAATGTTTTCCGTAAATGATAGATCAAGAATGAATAAAAAAAATAGATTAATAATATATACTTTTATAATAAGTGTTTTTTTTTTTGGAATTTGGGTAAAGTTGCAAGAAGCCTATCTCCGTAATCTTGAATTGACATACTAGATGGAAGTCAGCTAGTCAACAACATCCACCGCCATTTTCTAGGTTACTGTAATCGAAATGTAGGAACTTAACCGTCACATATATAACGCATCCACGACGTCAAAGTTCGGAGTGCATTTCTGCAACAACGGGCACTAAAATATGATTACTTCCCATTATATATGTACTTTTTATAACAAACTTTCAACTCGTTGTAGACTGTTTCACATTTTAAAATTTTAACTTTTTCCTGTAGTTTCTAAATGGAAAACTCGAAAGAAAAAATGATAGATTTGTAACATGCACTTTCATAATAAGCGTTTGTTTGTAATATTCGTGTAAAACTACAAGAAGGCTATCTGCACTAGCCGTCCCTAATTTTTGGACCATTCAACAGCATACGCGGCCAACATTGGAGTTACGCTAATCAAATAATACCCCGTAATGGCTCTGAGAGCTTATAACACTACAAATCGGGTTTCAATACACGCAGTGGGCAGAGCACAGATTGCCGATAGTGCAGCTTTATGCTTAACTACAAATATAAACAAGCACACATACTAATCAAACAGTGAAATTTGACAGTTATTCGTATATCCCACCTGTGCCCCAATATTGCAGCAAAAGGGCGTGATCAATGGGTCCAATAATTCACAACAACTAGGCTATGCCCAGCTCTACAATAAGAGTTCTTACAATAAAAGATAAAGCGTAAATAATAAGTCATGAATAAGCAGAAACAAGAAACTCTGCTTATATACAATTCAATATATATTTTTATTGTTTCGAAGAAGTTCGCCATTTAATGAATGACGTTTCAGCAGTCTTTATAGTCTCCGTCATTGGCACTATACTCTTAATCCAGAGTTTGTGAGAATAAGAAAAAACATCTTTAATCTAGTATAACATCAACAACGTTTTGAAGCTATAACGGGCAAACTTTATCTTAAACTAAGAGTCAAGTTTAGCCTATCGGTTAGAATACCAGGCTGCAGAGTGCAAGATTCAAGTTTAGTGAATTACAATAGTGCCGGTCAATCCTGATGTTCAGTGCAAAGCAGGACAATGTCCTTGTGGCAGCCGGTGCTGCTGGCTAGCAGCTTTCTTTCTGAAAATTAGATCAAATTTAGAGGACTTTCTCAGCGTATAAAGTGAAAAATACTAATATTATTAGCCGCGACTTGTAGAATGGCTCTGAGTTTTTTTTTCAAGTAGAAACTTGTAGCTCATAGTTCCATCTCTTGACCGATTTGAGATCTCACTATAGTCGCGACTATTGAATATTCCCTCTTGTCTTTTTCCTTCAATTGTGATAAAAAAAATTTGATGGAGATCAGTAC